GATGGCAACGTAGGCACCCTCGCTGTGCGCCTTGCCATTGAATGAAGACAACTCTTGAGCGCTGTAGACATGCTGGGTGGGACAAATGACCATGGGGAAGACCACGATGAAAAAGGCAGCAACCAAGCAGAAGAACCAAATGAGAAAGTTGATGGCAAGCTTCTCACGCCATGCGATGCGCACATCTTTTCGGGGCATCCGACCAATCAGCCGAATGAGAAAATCAGGAACGAACCAAGTGAGAGCGTACACAATGAACAGCCAGCGCTTGCGGCTTGCGCTGTCCTTGTACTCTTCAACTTCAACCAAGGCCTTTTCATTGCCTCGCTCGGCCAACTGCTCGCGGTTATCGAGGTTTTTGAACATGTCTCCCGCACCAAACGCCGAGGCACCCGCTTCAGAGCGAGCATCATCAGCCACAAAGTAACCACTTCTTCCTTTTTCACCATAGCCCATAGGAGTGTGTCCTGCAGACAAGAGACGCTCCTTGGAGGCACCAAAAGCATGATGGTCGCCAGGGGTGAGGCCATCTCCACCTTCACTATCAAATGCGGACATGGCACCACGGCCAGAAGCCGAACTGGAGAAAGACAGCTGAGCAATTTCAAGCCAGCAACGCTCGCTCAAGAAGACACCAGTGGCACCAACCGAAACTTCGTTACGGGGCCATTGCCTCTCATCGATTGCAGCCTCCGCCCGCTCACGCTCGCTTCCCACAAGCAGAGCCTCGCTATTGGCCATGCCCAAAAACTCACCAAAGGGCACAAACAAGCTGAAATCAGCCGAACGCAGGCGCTGGCTGATTTCGGCGATACCAAATGTCTGGATCTGCGTTCGCACACACTTACTGTCGAACTGATTGGCAATGCGGCGGTCATTGGGCTTAATACAGAAGAAGAAGTAGGCATTGGTGCTTGGATCAGTGACGGCTTTCTGCACGTTATCGAGAGATGAAAGGAATTGACCAGAGGCACCCTGTTCCGATGATCCCCTGGCGCCTCCTCGCTTGGTCTCACGCGAGTCGCTGGTCTGTGACATTGCATCAAAGTTATCTTGGGTCTGGCGGCGACCTGCAGGATTGGGCCTGTTGGGACGAGTACCCTTGCGCACCATGACACTCGGCGCGCGCATAGGCTTTGAGCTGATCGTAGCCTGCATCACAGTTGTCCGCTCCTGGGGGTGAGTGACAGTTTGCAGAGCTTCCTGGCCAAAGAGCTTGGCCACAAAGTCTGATTTTGTGCTGTTCATCATGTTCATGAGATCTCCAGAGATGATCTCGCCGTTTTCCTCGATCAAGCCCTTGACTGGATACTCGACTTCTCCGGCGAAATGCTTGACGGTAAAGCTCGCAGACAAGTTTTCAGTATGGAAGTTGCTACCTGGCAGCTTGGCGGTAGCAGAGCCGACTTCGATGGCGGGATTCTTTCCTTCGAACCGCTTCCGCAGACTCTCGAGAAGCTGCATATCCGTCCTGTTACGGCGAGTCTGGTCATCGAGAATGCTCAAAAGGCCATTGCCAGGCTTCAGGAGACCCTTGACAGCATCGCTGTTATCGAAATAGCTCGTGGCAGACACAGTGACTTCCTCCGTCTCAAACATCTCGGCCTTGCGGTCAAAGAAGTTGTGAAGAGTCATGTTGTAGATGGCCTCGTTGGCAGCGTTGGCGAGGAGTTGATCCAAGGCAGATCCAGTAGAAGCTGCCGCAGCGAAACCGGGGAAATCAACAATAGAGATTGTGTTGGCAATGCTCTCTTCGGGAGCGCAGAGACGCTGGTTCATGTTTTCGACGATCCAGGTGACCAAGAGCGAGTAAAGAGTCCTGGCCAACTCATTGGCGTGAGCACGAGCACCGTTAGGATCAAGCATGACGGTAACGCGCTCCTTGTGAATCATCTTGGTCTTGTAGCCCAAGGTGGTTTGGAGATCAGATGCGCTGATACCAAGGAAGGCGGCGATGATGGCCAAGACATCCTTGTTCTTGACAGCGGTGAAAGTGGTGCCTCCCTCGTGAGAGAAGCCACCGCTGTCATCACCAGTTGCGCTGGTGCTGCTGGTAGTCTCAAACTCCAGCTGGCCGATATGCAGAACAGTGGCAAGAATTTGGCAAATCTCCGCAATATCATTCTTGGGGAACTCCAGCTTCCTCATGGCGGTCTTGAAGAGCTGAAAGCCTTCGGCGTCGTTAATGCCCACCTTAAGCTGCGTTGGGTGCCCAAGAAACTTCCATCTCTTGCTGCTGTCATTTTCAAATCCCAAATGATCCTTCTCGGCCTCGCTTGTTCCGGCTACGAGATAGTAGAGGACGTGAAAGTTACGCTCGCCGGTGGGGACGTCGGTGATTCTGCTCCTTTCCAAGCGATGATCAAGGACTTTACCACCGATGAGAGTAGGGTTTGTGGACGCAGAAGTATCGTATTGAAGCTCGTAGAACAGACCAGCCCGAGAGGCAGTTGGAGTCGTTGCGGTCTTTGTGGTGGTTAGTGCGTCAAATACGTACGCAGCAAGCGAGAGTTTAGTCGACAAAGGAGTGGATGATTTCTTGAGAAGGGCCGTAACGAAATGGTTTCGCAGTGTTGACTTTCCGGAGCCAGATTCTCCCCTAGGCATCAGACGCGTTAGAAATTGAATTGCAAAAACAGATATCCAGTTTCGAAAATGGGTGGTAAGAGAGCATATATATCCGCAAGATTTCTTCAAAACCCCCAGAGAAGGAGGAAATTATGTGAAGTGGTAAAATAAAGAAAAAGGGCTTTGGCTCAACTTACAGAAACACAACGGCTTGGTTTTCAGACCGATGGCCAAGACGCAGATATGCTCGCTCGGCCACGTCTTCGGCAGCAGCCATGGAGCTGCCATCTCGGCCTCCATCTGGCCCTTTCGTCGAGGATGTAAAGGTGTTAACAGCGACCACTCCATGGGATGAAAGATAGGTGGCTTGGAGTTGCAGATGGAATCGACTGGCGAGATGGGCCGTTATCTGCGTGTCGGACTGGGAGTGTGCGGGCAATTGAGGGAGAGAATGCTGCGTGTGAGCCCCTCCATTGCCCGCGGAAGTAAGAGGCAAGCTCATGCTTCCCCAAGAGATGGACTGGAAACCTGAAAGAAAAAAGATGCCAACTCAGTGGCTCTACTGCCGCGCAGGCGAGAGCGCAAGCGGACGGTCCGCGACAGATGCGAGTATTGAAAAAACTGCTGTAAGAAGAAATCCGCGAAATATGCCTATTGGATAACGAATGTGGTTAAAGAAGCATGGAAAAGACAAAAATGCAGCGAAAGCCTCAAAGCAGACCGCGTCAACGTCAGGCAGCTGAGTTTGAAGTTATTTTCTTGGATGGGTTGGCTGAGCGGCGGGAAAGGGGCCGTGGTTTCTTTGCTTAGGTACTCAGCTCCTTCCTGCCCATGCATATGGATCGTATGCTGCTATGGACCTGCTACTGCACATTACATACGAGATGGCACCAAGTATTGTAAGTATATCGAGGTACTGCCCTCTGCAGGCGCTGTGCCTGAATTAGGTGCTCAGTAGGGCGCCACAGGCTGCGAGCGGCAGCGAAGGGGCGTGACGAGTGCTAGCTTTACGGACAAGTCCGTTGGGCGCAATGCGTCGCGAGCGCATTTTGGGCTTGTCCACACCCCCTATCGTGAATGTTGTTCCCACCCGCGCTCGGATTAGTGACTTGCGGGTACACGGACAGGTATTATTAGCATTCGTGCGGCGAGCACAGCCTGCCCTGCTAGGCCCCATTGCTGTAGCTGCATGCATGCCTGTCTCCCCGTCCAAGTATTATTAGTACCTGCTCAGTACCTGTAATTCTGTGTGTTTCTGTGTGTGCGTGCGTGTGTGCGGGTGAATGAAAGCATGGACAGGGGGGGTGAAATGGTCGTAACTTGGAAGATACATCAGATACGCCAGTGCATCCGAGGACTGGTGGAGCACGGAGTACAGGTGGGAGACTGGAAGCCAGGAGATACTTTGTGGGCGCTCACTTGGATGTTGATTCCACTGCTTGCAGGAGATGTTTTGTGGAAGGCGATGTACCGTTCGACTGCAATGGAACAGTACGCGGAGTGGGTGGCGAATGAGATTTTCAAGGCCGTGAGAAGGGAACATATGAAAAGGAGAAGAGACGGCAAGAGATGGCCGTTGATTGATAGGCAGGGCTGCCATAAATGGTAAGGAACCCCGATCTCTCTCTTTTTTAATTGTTTTTTTCTTGCTCGATCAACGTCAATCGTCAAAGAGCATCTCCATTATTGTCGTCATTGGAAGCGTCCGAGTACTGCGCGAGTACCACTTGATGGATGATGATTGATGGCACGGACAGATGGCCTGTGCACTTGGCATCTGCCACCACACGGATCCTTTAACCTCTATCTTTGAACCACACGTCGAAATCTTATGTTGCTTCAATACTTTATTTTAGCATACACGGAGCAGTCCTAACTCTACTAAACCTCAAGGTACAGACGTTGCCAGCACATGACAGCCAATGAGCAAAAATTCAATACGAGTATGACAATGACTAGCTCGCAGTATGAACCCCCTTTTTTCCCGTGCTCTTTGGCGCTGCTCGAACTTTGCTACCTTAGATCGGGACTTGGCACGGAGGCTTGATGTTGACTGAACTCAGTGAGTACTTGACGGTACCTCAGCTGCTGCCACCGTTCGCAGTGGGACCAGCCGATCCGATCCACCGGGCATGTACAGCATTTGTATGCACATGTACGAAGATTGGATTGATCCATCAATGGTTTTTTCTTCCCAAGGATGCGGAGCAGATGCCCCCTTGCTTGGTGCCACTTTACCTGGGTCGATGCCCCCTAGCAGATGCTATTAGGGGCACCGACTTACAGCGTATTGCCCCGGATGTCTGGTCCACAGGTACTTCCAGAATCTACCCGACCTTGACGGAGTAAGTCGTCGCCAAAATTACCTGCAATAGACCAGGTTACTGCTCAGCTGCCCTGCTGCCGGTGAGAGCGGCCATAAACAGCAGTATTGGCCCGCCAAGTTCGTGCTGACGCCTTCGTTGAAGCCTAATAAAAGAAGAATGGAATTTTCATCTTTGGGTGCGCTTTTCTCATGCTCGTGTTAGTCAGATTGGATACTATACGAGTAAAAAGTTATCGTATACCCTGTACCTGCTATTTTCAGAGCCAGCGATGGGAAAAGGGGGGCCATCCCACACTCTAGTAAGTCTAGCTGACTCGAAAAAACGAGCCTCGAGGAAGCACAGCTTACTTTGTACGCTGCTTGAGTGGTCTGACGACACAGCCCTAATGCGAAGAAACGACAACTAGCTGCTCGGCGTTCTTTTTATATCTACTCGTACTATTCTCGCCAGATCTCCCTAAAAAAAGACCCGATGACAGATGGGATTCAGACAGATTTTGTCGGGACACGAGGCTCTGTCATGCATCGGATGCACCCAACCGTCCTTTGCAAGTGCCACACTATCACCGGCCAGCAAACAAGCCGTGGGCGACACAGGCATTTGCTGACCCAGCATTGCCCGCTGGTCCAACAGGAGAGATGTTAGCGCCAGTGAGACGACAGACATTTTCCGAGCATTTTTGGCAATCCATTTGATCCATTCTCGAGTCTCAGTTGTGGCCGAAATGTCTTACTTGGATGTACATACCTGTACTGTCCGAAATACGTCGTAGGGGTACGGGGCACGGAAGCCGGAGCAGTCCGGAATGCAGCCAGCAGGGATACCCGTGGTCGATTTCCATCAATAGATGCGTAAAATGCACAACTTCGCACAAAATGGCCGTAATGGGTCTTCTCACTACTGTGCAGTACATACATGCACGATGATGGAGCCAAAAGCACAGGTCGCTACTAAAGTCGTACCACTACGAGCACAGTACCGTTTGTAGGGTACGCGCAGCTGCAAGTGACCAACGAGATGCTTCACGTTCTGTGGGTTTGCAGTCTCATGTTTCCCCTCCTCCCCGCATGTCAGGAAACACCACGCTTTTTTTTTTTTTTTTTAGGTTTTTTTTCTTCTCTTAGCCCGGTCTCGTTGTTGGCCAATCGTGTTTAGCATATGCAAGTACGGCTCAAGTTTTTGCCTAGGACCGGCGATCGAGGCAGCATGATGCGAGCTCTGGCACAGCCCAGCAGAAGCCGGTCTTGTGCCCCTCACAGGAGAAAAATACGAGCATCAAGGTGGTGCCGTGGTTGGCCACAGTCATGGCAAGACGGACTCACTCCATCGTGACACGCAGAAAAGCATACTCCGTAGTCGTAGCATTGACGGCGTCAGAGCGTCGCTGGTTTTCTCGTATTGCATCCGCCCGCTCCGGGTCTCGTCTCTCAGGGTCGGCGATGGTAGTATTTGTACCAAGTAATACTGCCAGGTAGATGTGTAATTACACATCGGCCGGTGGAAGTTTTATATCCGCATCCAGATGTCGCCGTGCGAAATTTCGATTTCAGCCGTGGAATATTCCAGGTACTCCATAATAATAAATTGCATGTGTTCGCTTCCAGGCATTTGTACTGTATGTACGGAGCGGAGCGGGTGTTGGCATGGAGCACGACCATGCAGTCGCTGGGCTGTACACGGAGGTACCTGCTAGGGAGGCGCTGATGTACATGCCGGTACAGGCTCTGCCAGCTTGGTGACATTCGAGCTGATGCACAGCACTTTGAGGGCTGCAGTTGACGATGTCCACGATCAACACAGATTGGGGTGAGAGACCCAGCCAGTGGAGAGCGGCGAGGGTTGCATTCAGCTCAGCCAGTATCACCAGGCTAGCAGTACGGAGCTCGATACGATACAGTAGTACGAGCAGACTTGGTAGGACCAGTATTCTAGTAGCCTTGTGCCGTGGCAACCGGGCTTTGTTGTCTGGCTGGCTTCGCTCTGGATCGCTAACAGCCCAGCATCTGCGTCTTGTACCACCGCAGCAGCCCAGACTCTACAAAATACTACCCGCCGATGCAGTACTGCTACTAGCACACAGTCGTGCTAGCAGCACTGCTAGGCCTTAGAGTTGAGGCGCTCAGCGGGAACGGCTTCAGTGAGCACAACCGCCCGCTACCGTCCAGCCGCAGGCGTATGACAGGGCCCCCCTGCTTCCAACTTGGGCGGTACTGCAAGTACTCGGCGCCGGTTGGCGGTGGCGCCGACGGGCTCGCTAGCTGCCCATTGTTTGGCACACGCCCCCTGGCCTAGCTGTGTGGCACAGCTGCCGCCAGTACACAGGCCCAGGTACCTGCCAGGTAGCCCCTGTCGCTGGGTGTTCTAGTGCCTACACGGCAGCTCCTCGAGATGGGCGAACCACCAAATCCATCGATTCATCCTCCTCAGAGCCGCGAGACTTTTTCTCTGCTGTTTTCCCTGACCACCTCTGGACCTTTGGTGAGACTGCCTCATTCGCTTTGGCAGCTCTACTTTCAATCGTTAATCGCTGCATCTGTTTGTCTGCACTGCTGTTTTGTTTTATCGCCTTGCCTTATCTGTCTTGCATCTTCTTGCACTACCAAACAACTAATCGAGACAAAAAAAAAAGCAAAGACCGGGGGGCAGAAAAAAAAGGAGTTAATACGGCAGTCGCGTCTTGGGCTTGCCTTCAGTCGTCCTTCTTGTCTCTCGCTCAGCATTGAAACAGCAGGCCATCTTCATCTTCATCTCCGTCATTTCTTCCCACTTCTTTTCCTTCTCATAGCCTTGCTTGTCTTGTTGTTATTGGACCAGCCGTGCCGCATACACTTTGGGGGCTGCTTGACATAAACAAACATCTTCAGCATCAACAACACGACATAATTCGTTCCGCATTGTTATAGGACGTTCCATCGATCGAGGGCCGTTACGCCCACTCCTCCTCCGTCATGGCGAACCGACTTTCCATGTTCTCCATGGCCTCAGAGGCTCGAGGTGGTGGACCTCAGTCTCAGGTCTCGACCACCACGCTGCTCAACTCCATCCACAACATCTATCTCACCTCACAACCCCATCAACTGGACGCCAGCACCAGCGTCGTTGTCAACACCTGGCTCACAGCTGCTCAGGGCGGCCCTGCTGTTGATGCTACACTCGCAACGCGGGCTTGGGAACATGCCAGGCGGCGAGCAGAAGATGGCTGCATTGTCTTGGGGTAAGTGAACAACTCCATCCAAGCTGTCATCCCATACTGACAAAGGCTCTAGTTCTCTTCACCAGTCGACTCCCTCCCTTCTCGTCCCTTTCCTGTCGTCATTTCCGTTTGCGATCCCCTCCACCGTCTACAAGGCTGTCGAGGCTATCCAGCCCCTTCTCCGATGTGTCACTCCATACAACCCGGCAGCCCAGAAGCAGGCGGGCTTGGGTGTGACCTTGGCTTTGAACCTCGCCGGCAACCTTACGGGGGCTTCGTTGGCCCTCTCCCAGGGCGGGATTGATACTTCTGCGGGCTTGTTAAACATTCCTGCCGAGGCGGGTTATCGCGCCTTTGACGTCTTTTACTATCTCTTGACCTCTGCCTCAACACCCGCAGAACGAGAATTTTTGGGCCTTAAGTCAGCGTCTGCATATACTCTTCTGTCCCGATCTGGCACCTATGATCCACCATCATACCTACCCACTGCGGATGATTCCGCATCCGCTGATGACTTCCGCCAGGCTCTCAAAGACATTGGCATTAAGGGTTCAGCTCACCGAAACTTCATCTCTACTCTAGCTGGTCTGCTCAAGCTTGGCGACACGCTTGACTACAGCATTGAATCCGAGGCGCTTGAGGAGATTTGTGAGGACGTGGGTGGTCTGCTTGGAATCGACCCCGAGGTTGTTCTCCGCCAGTGTAGCACGGAGGACCGTAAGACTCTCGTTGGCGGACTCTACGAGTCCCTTGTTGATTGGGTCATCTCCAAGGCCAACGATGCCATCGCTGCGCAGTTGGTCCGTATTAAGGACGGCGATGAGTCTTTGGATGGCCATGGAGTTCGCACTCCCACCTCCAACGAAGACAATGGCGATACTGTCTCCATCACTGTTCTCGAGGTGCCGGATCCTGCTATTAGTAGGGCACTGTGTATGCGGTCCGTCTTTGATGATACCCAAGGTATCAATGCCGAGATGATTGGTGATGGCCTCGAGATCCCCTCGGCTGGCTCCTCTATTCTGAGGGAACTCCAGCAGGCTGTGTCCGAGGTGGCGCCTGACTTGGGAATCATGACCGGCCCCCAAGGCCGCGAGCGCCAGCATGAACTGGAGAAGAGGGAGGTGATTCTGGAGAAGGCTGCATATGGTGCTGACGAAGGCAGCTTCCTCAAGAAGTTGCTCTTCCCCGTCGAAGGCCAAGGTATCAACCTGGGTAGGGCTGGTCGAATCGATCTGCCCACGGTGCTTAGCTCCAACCGTATGTGGTATCATCTCTGCCTGCACCCAACGGACGATACACCTGGCAGCCTAGCCGCGCTGCCCTCAATTACTTCCGCTTGGTCGGCCGGCACTGTCTCTCGTCAGTTGCGCGCATGGCGTCTTCCGGAGTGGGCGAACCGTAGGCACAGGAACCTTGACTTCACCGCCGACTTTGACGTCGACGAATTCGTCCAGCGTTATGCTCCCCTCGGCTGCAGGGATGGTCGTGAGGGCATTGAAACGTGGATGCTGGAGCGTGGTTGGAGTAATGGCGAAGTCTTCATTGGCAAGGAGCGTATCTGGATTCGTGAGAACGCATGGTGGGAGGCGGAGAGCATGTTGGATGTCAAGCCAGGTGATGAAATCCACCCCATCCACAGCAACCCATTCAACAACGGTTTCGATACCGGCTATTCAAACAACGGTAGCGGATACTTCCCTCCAACTGGCATGGACAACAGTGCCAACATCAGCCGGGATCACTTGGTTCACAACCGCGGTATGAGCCAGGGCAACATGAGCCAATTCACACTTGGCCAATCCCCGAACCCTCAGGCCGCGCCGTCTATCGCACCGAGTGCTATGCGTGCTGGCGATTATGGCTTGGGTAATAAGGGCGACTTGTATAGGGGCGATGGCTTTTACAACCCAGAGGCCGCTGCATACGACGCCGAATTCGCCGAAAATAAGCAGCTCGAGACAAAGCAGGTTGACAATGCTCGTCGGGCTTGGGTTTGGTTCACCTGGGCCATGACCTGGTGGATTCCGTCCCCCTTGCTCAAATGGATCGGTGGCATGAAGCGCCCCGATGTTCGCATGGCTTGGCGTGAGAAGCTCGCGCTGTGCATGTTGATTGTCCTCATGAATGCCATCATCATCTTTTGGATCGTTGGCTTTGGCCGAGTTCTATGCCCCAACATGGACAAGGCCTGGAACCGAAAGGAGGTCAGCCAGCATCAAGGCGTCAACGATTACTATGTCAGCATTCGCGGCGGCGTCTATGACCTTTCCAAGTTCTGGAAGCTCCAGCACAGCGACACGAATACCAAGACCACCTCGGACGTCATGCTGCCCTTGGCTGGCGCGGACATGGATGATTATATCATTCCTCCTCTCAACGTTGCCTGCCCAGGTCTCGGACTCACCGAAACCTTTCAGCTCGTCCTCAACAACACTCTCGAGTTCTCTATCGCCCAGCATCTGCAGGGTCCTCATTTCCAACCCGACCCGACCAGCAAGCTAGCCAA